CTAGAACGTGTCTACTCTGGGTGGTTTACATATAATGTAAAAATAAACTAAGATAAAATCCAGATTAATCCAAAATGGGAAAGGAAAAAAGAAAGTGGGAGAAAAGAAGGAGGAGGAGGAGAGAAAAGAAAAAGAAAAGGGAAGATAGGCTATTTTATCCATTTATTTATTAGATTTATACATTGTTGTAAAAAAATAACACTGCCTTATTTCAAAACTAGTTTCAGAGGGTATTTCCAAGGGTTTTTAGAAATTATTTTGACAGGGATTGCTAAAGTTTTATGCCACTTTCTTATTAATCAAAAAGAGTCTCTTAAAAAAGTAACAAAAAGGTCTTAAGCAATAACAACAGTCTGATTTTAATTTGTGGGCAAACTTGGAAATAAAATATAATAAAATACCGTTTGGTCCAGCTGTAGGGCTACTACTTCTGAAGGAGCGATTCCCTGACAGATAGAAGGGTCTCTTTAAGGTTTTAGTGACCCTTTCTGGAGGGATCAGGTATGCAACTTTCTCACTATCTTAATTAATCTGCATATACAGAGGAGGAAAGCAAGTGGTATAAGCCCAAGATATGTGCCCAGCCTTCCAAATCATAGTTCAGATGTCCAGTGCAACTATTGACGGAATATTCAGAAAGTTCCAGGTTAAAATCAGATACGAGGGAAACTCGATACACTCAGTTACTCTATTCAATGTAGTTTAGGTATAAGCTTCAGCTGTTCAGATCCAGGCTACTCGTGGGAAGAGTTCTATCCAGGGTATTATCCCACTGAAGGAGTGGAAGAACCACATTTATTGAGTTTTGCTGCCCATGCAGCAGCACCCTGTGTCTCTCAAAAAGTTTTTCTGGAGGTCCTGGCAACCCTCCAGGACAGGATATCACAGAGCAGTGACGGCTGCAGTGTGAAATCAGCAAAGATCTTTTTCTCCCACCCACTTCCTCCAGTGGACCTGCCCTTCGGTAAATGGAAGGAAATGTTACATTCACGGAATGGACTTCAGCAGCTACACGTATTATTTTAGCTTACTCCAGTGCCTCAAACATGAAAAGCATAGTCTTATTTATACCTCTTAGTTTTCTTATTACATTGCTTACTTGTCTGGACAGTTTGTGTCCTGTTCTTAATATGGCATCTCTCTTGGATTTTCTGGTAAAGAAGAATGGATTCATATTAATATGAAAATACTTTCAGACAACTGTTCTATTTTTAAGGCTTTAATTGTTTAACACTCCTATGTATTTGGAGCCATATCTCATGAAAACTCCCCTTTATTCACAATTCATATTCCATAGGTAAAGGTAAAGGTTCCCCTTGACAATTTTTGTCCAGTCGTGTTCGACTCTAGGGGGTGGTGCTCATCCCTGTTTCCAAGCCATAGAGCCAGCGTTTTGTCCAAAGACAATCTTCTGTGGTCACATGGCCAGTGCGACTTTGACACAGAACGCTGTTACCTTCCCACCGAGGTGGTCCCTATTGATCTACTTGCATTTACATGCTTTCGAACTGCTAGGTTGGCAGGAGCTGGGACAAGCGACGGGCGCTCACTCCGTCGCGTGGATTCGATCTTATGACTGCTGGTCTTCTGACCCTGCAGCACAGGCTTCTGTGGTTTAGCCCACAGCGCCACCACGTCCCGTAGGTATATTCCATAGATATATTCCATAGAATTCACTATAATAAGACTTGGAAAATAATAATAAGCCTTTGAAAATAATGTCACTCCACCTCTATCTCACACAGAGAGGGAGGGAGCTGGCGACACAGGTGATCAACCCACTGTGTGGAGTGCTGCAGCGACAAGCTGGTGCACTCTTAAAGATAGCAATGAGACCATGTCTGCTCGAGCGCAGCATCTTATCCCCAGAGCGATCCTACCTGCATTTTTTCTGGCCCCTGTTAAGCGCCTCTACTTTCTTGGTGTGGGTAAGACTGCTCTGGTTTGTATTGGTTGCAGTGTGTGTGATCGCTGGAACAAGACTGCTCTGGTTTGTATTGGTTGCAGTTTGAATTGTATTGGTTCCAGTTTGAATTTACTAATATAATGAAATGGCACAATAGGCAGGCCCTTCAGGATATTAGCAAATTAATCAATTCCCCTGCTCAGCAGATGGAAGTGGGGAAATATATATATTTTTAGTTATATAGAGATGATTACTATATTTGTTATAAAAATGTAAAAGTATTTTCTTTGCCTTGTCTTAAAGAGCCGGTCAAGAAACTAGTAGCAGTTTAATCCAAATAATGAAATGGCACAATAGGCAGGCCCTTCAGGATATTAGCAAATTAATCAATTCCCCTGCTCAGCAGATGGAAGTGGGGAAATATATATATTTTTAGTTATATAGAGATGATTACTATATTTGTTATAAAAATGTAAAAGTATTTTCTTTGCCTTGTCTTAAAGAGCCAGTCAAGAAACTAGTAGCAGTTTAATCCACAGCAGTGGCTTCAGCTGCAGGTAGTTTCTCAATCAGCCTTTTAAAAGCAGACAAATAAAAATACTTTTAAAGAATAATCAAGGAAGGACATCAGCAATAGTCTAGATTCAGTTAAAAAAAAATTTTTTTTTACTTCTCCTGCCATCTGTCGAGTAGAGGAGGTGATTAATTTGCCAATATCCTGAGGTGGCTCACTTATGAAGCCACTTCATGATATTTGCAAAAGCCATTTTTGTGTGGATGGTCAGGCTTGATTGGATCATTCTAATCAAGCCTGACCACTCCCTGCTGCAAGCAGAACCACACCCTTACTTCAGGATTGACCTTATTGTTAAATCAGAAAATTTAACAATAAGGGCAATCTAGATTTCAGAGGTCATTTAGATTTCAGACTGAATGGAATCTTTCACCAAACACATAGACTCCACATCGAATGCATTAAGTCTCAGTGACATAATACCACCACAGCTATTTTACACTGCTGTGCAAACTAAGTTTCACCAATTAAAGTAATTAAAATAATTAAAATATTTCTGTGCAGCATTATTATACTTTAATTTGTGTGGCAAATTCAGATGAAATAAAGAAATAGTAGGTTAGAAACAAACTACAAGCTACGTTGTACATACCATACAGTTATGTATAAGTTTTTTCCTTATTTTTGAGTAAGCATACATAGCCCTAACCCAGATCAAGACTAGTGCATGGTTTGAGTGAGACTTAAACCTTCCCCTGATCTATTTTCTAAAGTTCCTCTCTCAGCGGCTAAACTTCATTGATGCCCATGTTTAACACTGCTTGTAATCTGACTCTTACATTTCAAAGGGGAAACTGAAAAACATAATAATGTTGGAGAAGGGGAGAGGGATCAATGTCCTATCAACATTCCAGCTGGTGTACACTAAGGGGCACTATGTTCCTTCTTAACAGAGGTTCAGCCACTCAGGTCATGAGAAGTTTGTGGACCATTTTCCACTCAGTATCACTCTTTTTGCTACTTCACAGAGAAATGAGTTTGGTAATGCTGCTGCCCAAGCATCCCATTTCAGCCTCCATTTTAAGTTCAGTGTGACACTGGAATTTTTTTTCAGAAGAAACTCCTTTGCTTTCCATTTCAATTCACATTGGTCAGAAAAGTCATGAATAAGTACCCAGACTGGTTGTGCAAATCAACCTTAGCCTCACCCGCATTAATCCACAATTATTCACAACAGCTAACAGAAAAGAAGTAAAAAGAAGCAAGACAATGAGTGGATACCAAAGTAATCAAAAAATTATTTTAGCTTACTGCTGTGCCCAAAGCATGAAAAAATATGGATTTATATATCTTAGCTTTCCTTAGAATTAAAGAAGGCATGAAAACTAATATAGAACTGAGGAAAATACACTTCAGTAAATAAACTGATTTTAAAAATGGTCAAATAACCAAGAGGAAAATGCTCAGTTTAGTATCACCAGTTGTGCAGAATTTTCTATCACACTGGACAATAGCTTTGCTACAAAAAACAAGCATAGACATGAAGTCGTAATACATTTATTGGATGACTTACATATCCCAAACAGGTGAATTTTTGAGTCCTGCCTGATCCTTGATCAATGTGGGCATTTCATACTGGTGGATGGCGGAGAAACCGAAGTCTGAAAATCATCCTAGCTAAATGTTGAGGCTTTGGAATGTGTAGTTAAACTAAAGTTTCAGTATGAAGACTGCATCTTCATGATGGAATTTTAGTTTAATTTATAGATTAAGAAGCTTCAACATCTAGTCTGGATGATTTTGTGATTTTTGATTTCCCCTTTTCCCCCACAAACACTTCTAAGCTCTGTAATGCTCACCTTGATGCAGTATCCTACAAGACTGTTCATTTTATTTCAGTGGTTCTATAACTCTCATTTTTGGTAATTCTACTGATCATCAGGCCCTGTTCACTTGAACTATTCTTTCAGCTATCATTAACTCTATTGTGAGGTATAATGAAGTAATCTAAGCTTCCCCATACTATGAATTACATAATAGAAAGTGACATAATAGAGTGAGGAAGGAATGTAAAAAAATATAACTTATCAATGAGATCTGCTATCTTCAGAACATTTTAAAACTTACTTTTGTACAAGTAGGAGCACAGTCTTTACAATGTTTATGCACAACTGCATTGCAATCTGTAAGAAAGAAAAACACTTTCAAAATATAAGGACTATAAAGAATCATCCTGATTTTAAAATGTTCATATCTAAATAAATTCAATTTGTTCTCCAGCTATAGTGATTGGCTATTTTCTTCAAAGGAACTAGCAAATGCTATCTGAGCAAACAAAAGCTATAGCTTATAGCCTGTCTTATGCAGAAGTGACTTTCTATGAAAGATTTGCAAGTCAAATGTCAACAGAACAATTACTTACAAGAGCATTGCAGGGAGTCCTTCCCAAGAAGAGCTTTCTCGCATGCGAAACATGGCATAACCCCAGTGATTGTCCCAGAGACAAACTGGTGCCTGTTAAGCTTCTCCTTCTCTTTGACATCTTTATTTTTTGTCTTGACAACCAAAATGGGAGGGGGGAAAAGTGAAATCGGACAGTTTACTTTGCTGTTTAATTATACAGTATCCATTTAAACAAGAGTGGTAACACCTCTCCTTAGTTCTGAAATCTCAGGAAATATTTCCACTGTCCTCTTTGCTTTGTAGATCGGCATTACAAAGACCAGAATCACATGTTATTTTGTAAATGTTCCCTTGATTCCTTTGCTTTTACATTGTGCTACTTAAGACTGAACTTATATATGCAGGGTAAGATAGCGGAGTCTTGAGATGGTAGAGAAGATGGTACCACTTTAGATGGTATGTGGGGAACACAATTTCCCCTGCTTCCCATAGGATAAAAATTCCCTTCAAATACATCACATTGATTTCTGCTCAGCAAGACAGCTAAGTACATCTGAAGCAAGAGATTTCTCATTTTCTTCCCTGCTGTAAACAGAAACAAGTCTGGTAATGTTACATGGAGCTCAGAAAAGTTACTTTTTGGACATTGTGACCATCATGGGTAGCTAGGGGATTCTGAGAATTGTAGTCTAAAAACCATCTTTTCCAGGTTCTGTGTTACAGTTCCAACAGGTAACTGACAGTTTGGACAGGATTTTCAGAATTTAAAGGTCTTCCAGTCTCATAATCTTCCAGGCAAAATTATGGAAGTCCTCAAACTGGCAGAGGTTAGAGCCATCCCCTCACTTCCATATTGTTTCCATACCCCCCCTTTAAAAAGTGCCCCACTACACTATGGGAGACTGTGGATTCCCTGGGACTCACAAAGGTACATAGGATAACAAGTTCCAATAGAGCTCCATAAACTCTGTGGTACTGGGAATCTTTTAATTCCAAAATCTCATCCCTAACTAACAGTGATAGAAGCTCTTTGGATGTAAAAGCAAGCACAGATTGTTGCTAGATGTTCTGCAACGTAGCACAAATAATCTCATATTACCTTGGATTTATTTCGTGTACTGGCCATTCTGTTCATCAAGAAGCTGAAGGTACGGCTAACTTTATATTTTTCAGATTCTGATTTAGTAGGTATGAGGTACTTATCCCATTCTTCTTCCTGAATCCTAAAAATGTACCAGTAAATCCTTCATTAAGTTATGCACATGCTTCTAAGACCAGCAACATTGCAACTACATCTGGGACGCTTACACAACAGAACAAAAAGGAAGTAAACACTGAAAACTCTTATTTCCTTGTTTGACTATGGAACCTTAACTTTAGATAAATCATACAGTGTATAAGTATTTATCTACTAAATACTAGTATTTATCTTTTGTGTAAAAGTGGAAAGAAAGTGAAAACTGCTCTGTCAGTTAGCTCTAAACATTAGATAAAAGGACACATATTATATCACTTAGTAGCAGAATGTTAACACTTATGTGGTCACTGATAATCATTCTGCATTTACTCTCACTCCAGCGTCTATATATCCACCCGCCTCCAATCATACAGTATGTACTGTATATCTAACTGAAGGCTCCCAAATGGCATTCCATACATTCAAGGAAATGGGCCATGTGTCAAGATCATACTGTATTATCACAAATCTGCTTGTCTTATAGCTGCCACACAACTGTTGTAGTAGACTAGTAAACCTACTCCCTGTAGGTGATCATATCCCTATTATGATCATAGCATGACAGGGGAAAAAATGAAAAAATAAAGACAAAAGCATTGTGGCACCCCTAAAGGCTGACCGCTATATTTTAATGTAAGCTTTTGTGGACAAACCCACTTCTTCAGATGCTATACGTCTTATTAAATTAAAAGGTTGTGATTGCTTGACAGCTACTGCTATTATCAATATCCTTAGAGATGTCTGCGGGAGGGGGAAAACCCATACCTTTTGTCTCCTGATTGTTCAGATGAACCGAATGCATGTTGATCTAGAAAGCAACAGGTTTAAAGCATTTACACATCACATTCATTGAATTGTCTGACATATGCATTCTAAAATTTGCTCAGTTGTTGCATTACAGCATGTCCAAAGCATTTAAAATGAAAAAAGTTCAGCTCAATAATCTGCCTTTCTCTCAGAACAGCTATATTTTATAAGTGTAAATTTCAAACTGCAGGCCCTCCTGATGATAATCTCCACACTCACACCCTTATGGAGAGACCAGGAATGCAAACATTTGTGTCTCCTTTGACATTTGTCACACTTCTATCATTTACAGGTTTCCACTAGCAACATACAGCTTTCAGCTTGAGTTCCCACATATTCCATACACAGTCAGTTTTCAAGGATAGTGGCATGCTGCTTTTCAGGTAAATCTGAACATTCTCATATGTGGGAAGGGCACTTTCCTCATATATAAGAGGCACACTAAACATGGCTTCCATGAGATCAGACTCAGGCAGAATAAAGAAAGCCACCTTATAAAAATGAAGGAATAGGGAAAAACAGGTACTGTAATAGTATCAATGCTCAGAATCACCTGAATCACATGTTGTAAAGTCCTGTACACAGCGTGATTTCCCTGGTAGGATTTTGGGTGAAGTATAAGAATATGAACGAGATCGGATTCCTGAAAGTATAGATTCCTAGAAAAACACCCAATATTTTAAAGGATTAATCAGCAACAGATGTAACAAAATTCTACACTTTGCAATCTCTTTTTAGAGATTTATATTTTTTTAATTGTAAAATTAGATGACATTAAATTTATTTCTCACATCGTTTCCTGCTTATTTAGTCATTTGTTTTCCACTCTATATCAAAAGACCCTAAGGTGGCATTAAAAGAAATAAAACAATGAACAATTTAAACAAACCTAAAACACTTTAAAAATATATAAAAAAGTGTATGTAGTGTATGCTCTATTAAAGCTCCACCGGGGGGGAAAAGGGAATAATTTCCTGTTATTATGCTTTGATGAAAGGATGGTAAGATGTGTTTATGGAGACAATAATTAAGGATAAGATCTCATACCAATTAAATAACTTCAGATATGATTATGAATTTGATAAGAATACAAGAACAAGAACAAAAATACCTTTGACTCCGTATTGTTGGATAAAGGAAGGGATTCAGCACTGTTTATATTAAAATCTAGTTCGCTGGCTGTTTCTGAAGAGCTTAGCCCACTCTTTCTACTAGCCAGGACTGCAGAAGAGTTGAAGGACATTGAAGGGCAATAGTTATGAGGTCGGTTAGAAATTCGTTCATCTCCATTGTCCACATCCAAGTCATCAAGACTAGAACTAAGAACACACATACAATAAATTACAAATGCAATTAAACTAGTCAATATTAAGCATAAATTATGTATGCCCCCACACTACGATATTCCCACATACACTTTTATATGGTCCACTTTTATTACGGTCCAAAGAAATTAAAAACATGGTTTATACAGCAGCAAGAAGAGAATACCCCATAGGATGGAACTTTCCCTCCAAACCCATGACAGACAGGTACCATCAGTGCTGTATGTGACACCTCCCCTCTTTATAAGTTGTTTTGCGGGGGAAAAGCTAAAGTGCTTTTCTCCAAAAAAACAACCAGGATCACCATTTTGGAACCGCCGATCAGCTGTTCCAAAACATCGCAATGCGAAGATCGGTAAGCGAAACGCTTACCAGTCGTCGCAATGCGATGTTTACCCTATTCAAAACATCGCAATTTTTCAATTGCAAAAAACGCGTCGCTATGAGGATTCGTCGTTAAATGGTGCACTCGTTAAGCAAGGCACCACTGTACCCTTTTTTCTATCAGATACACACATTAACATATCAAATATGTGTTCCCACATTTACCAAGGCAGCATGAACTCATGGGTAAAGATGGGCATGAACCACAGTCTGACAGTTCAGCCTGGGCACCCGCACAGGGATTCTGTGGGTGCAGCACATTCCCTCCCCTGCCTCCTCTGGGCAATTGTCCACTCACCAGCAGCAATGTGTTTCCTTCCTCTGAATCCTCCAGGCAATTGGCCACTCAGAGGCAGCATCATGGGCTTCCCCACCCTGCCTCCTCGTCTGAGTGGATGGCTGCTAGAGGAGGCAGAGGAAGGAATCACTCTGCTGCCAGTGAGTGGGCAATCACCCAAGGGAGGTGGGGACAGGAAGCACTTGGCACCTGTGGCGGTTTGTGTCCATCTCTACTCAGGGGTAAGGAAAATCAGCCACAAGAGGCATTTACACATTTCATCTAAAAATAGACAGAGAAAGAGATACAAGCCATTCTTTGTCTATTTGAGCTCATTTTTGTTATGACTACACTGGCAAGCCAAAATGGAGCAATTCAGCTTTGCTGCAGCTTGATTTTCAGCTTATGTTATACTTCTGATCAGATTAGATGACCACACAGAGACTACAAGTTGTTCTGGTCCCAGTGTCCCCACTGGTCCCTCAATCTGATGCATTTTTATCCACACCACATCCCCCACCCTGCCCTCTGCTGATCCTGGCTCTCTTTTTATCATTTATTGTAAAACCACTGGGCTGTTTAAAGTGTTGCATGGTGTTAGGGGAATGGGAGAGTTTTCCAAAATTCTCGATAACATACAAAGACGTCCATACTGCAGAAACAAAACATTCTGCTGCAGTTCACTGGAATACTTTCAATTGATTTTTCTCTCCTTTTTTGTCTCTGCAGAGGTGATGTAATTTATCTCTGCAGGGGTAAACTAGTATATCAATGTAATGAAAAGGTGATCTAGAGCTAAACTAGATAGTTTGTTTTAAAAACAAATAAAAATTATTTGGGGTGACTAGGGAGAAAGAACATAGGGGTGGGTGTTCCCACTGTCCAAAACATCACATCTAGGTTAGTACATCACCAGAATACCACCCACAGACTCACCGACCCTGTACTTTTGGAGGAATGATCACAAGGGGAAAAGTCAATTGAAATAGTTTGGGCTTGGAAAATGTAGAAGCCCTCAGGGCAGAGAAAAAAACTCCATGTTGGTAGCTAAAAGGGCTGGACTGATTTGAACTGGCCTTTGCATTATGTTATCAACTTTTTAAAAAATGAATTCATCTATTTTAAATTCATAGCAAATCCAGCAGTATTTGACTGTATAGTCATAGCTATAGGAAAAGGAAAACTCAAATTTCAACCCTCCACTGCCTTGTGGCTATATCCACTCATGGAAAAGGCTTCAGGAGTTAACCTCGAGGCAAAATCCGGAGCTGGAGTCCCGAAGGCAGCATGTGTCATTCTGCCAACTCCTGCGACATTGCTGGAACCAGTTGTACTGGCTCTTGCCTTTCCATTGGACCATTTCAGCAATGTGGAGAGGGGGGATCTGCTGCTTGGGTAACAGCCTATCCTCCATATTACCTTACCCGGGCTTCATGCTCTGGAGAGGACACTCCTCGATTCAGAGCATGTTACCATAGTCTCTCGAGACTGAAGGATGCCTATGCTATGCATAGCTATAGCCCAGATGAAGAAAATGAGTTCCAAGTAGTTTTGCATAGCAAAATCAGTAAACAGATGAAGGTTTCAGAACTCCCTCTTGCATACTGAATGTCTGCTTTTACAGTACTTTTTTAAAGCCAAAACACATAAGATTTGGAAACCCCATGCTATGCTGGTAACCTATAGTTCTGTTTTTTTGACTGATACAGATAATTGGGGCCGGGTGGACCAAAACAGAAAATACTTCAGATGTTCAGTAAAAGACATGATCCAGCTTATTTAACAGCTACCAAGCAGAACAGAAAATAGGGTCTAAACTAGGACTGGGTACCTTCTTATGAATCAAAAGCCACACATGACGACAAGGGCTACTAGTTGAGTGCTGCACCCCTATGTACACACACATATGCACACACACTCCCTCAAATAGTATTGCAGATGGTGGGAGTGAAGGAGGGAACATTTTCACTTTCATCTATACAAGCAATGTAGGGTACTATTACTGTAATCATAATCATCTTCATTGTAGAATTGCAGAGGTGAAAGGGACCCTGGGAATCATTGAGTCCAGTCCCTGTCAAGGAAGCATAGTGGGGAATTGAACTACCTTAACCACTGAGCTATCCAGCAGTTACTAGGACACAGGTGAAGTTACAGCCTTTCCCCACTACAATGATTCTCCTGGGGAAGAATATGTGTGGTGATGACTTTTCCCAGCTCTGAGTTTCAGAGTGACAAAATGTCATTCGGCCCCAATGAGCTGTTTTCAGAATCAGAGAATGCTTTGGCAATTCTCCTCATGGAGACGGAGGTAGGGGGCAACAAATGCAGCATCAGGTTCTAGCAATCAGCAACACGTGTAAGTTGAGGGGAAAAACTGTGTCAGAGGATGGTGCTTCTAGTAGAAGCTGGGCACATCATGGCTGGGATTTCAACAGCAATTTCAGTGGGAGGAACACAAGGTTGTGAGGGACAGAAGAAGCCCTAAAATCTGGCATATGAATCAACATATTGTCTAAGCCAATGAGTCCATAATTTTCTTTAGGAGAAGCTCTTGGATGAATCTATTTTTTGTTCTCTTTTCGAACCAGGCATAAAAAGGGTTACTTTCCTAACAACTCTATGAAAACCAGTTCCACACCTTCTTTTTTTCATGATGGAGTAGCGTTGATTTCGTTGATTGGCAAATGCCAGTGTCTTCTTCAGTGAACTGTAAGAACCAGCTGTATCCATACCAGAAGAAATGAGGGAAGACAGGTTTCCACTGGCTGCGTTATTTGCCGATGCTTCTGGATCATCACTTGGGGCAACTTGATCTGTGACACTTTCAGCAGACTGGCTGACATCAATGAACTTGACACCAGCATCTTCCATCTAAGTGTGAAATTACTCCAGTTAGTGGCACTGGAAAACATACACAGCAGGATAGAGTAAGGCTGAAGCCAATTTGTAGAACTATTATGAGGCAGAGAAGCTCCTAAAACAAAGTTGGCAAGAGGAAGCCAAATAAGAATACAACTTGAGACTGAGGTATCATGACCATGAGTATCTAATGCAGCACTCTAACAAAGGCCACATTTAACAAAGTAGCAAAAATCAGTTAGTTTCTTGATGCATTTGAAAACAACACTACAACAACATTGCTTGGAACACTAGCGTGCACAAGCAATAGCTTTCTGGCTATAATTATTGGCTAGTCACTGTGGTTCTTTCGTACCATGAGATCAGATTGTCAAAACCTCAGTTTCATATCATACCTAAAAAAACCCTGAAATACAGTATGTCCATTTGGCCATTTGCAGGAAGGCTTAAAATATTTTTATATATACTCGTATTACATGTTCTTATTATAGTGTCAAAGAGTGACTACTACGTACATATGTGAGTGTGTGAGCTTACAAAGAGGAGAACAGAGAGAAACAGACCAGTAGATAATGCAATATGTTCATAAGAGACAGAGAGGCAGCGTGCCTCTGCATGAGAAGGGATTCTCCATAGCCTACTCGCTGCGCGGCTGGTTCACACAGCAAAGGGCGTTCTTACTTGTAAAAAGTAATTTAGCCCTGTTATTCTCTCATCACTGTCAAGTCATTGTCAGCAATCCTTACAATATAAATCTATATTGATCGTTATTTTTATATTATTTTCTGTTAGTGGCATAAAACTTGCCATTTAAAAAAATATATGTTACAGAGTACAAGACAAGATTAAATGAATTGAATACACTGTAATAAATCACTCTGGATACAACTGGTAGAAAAGTAGAAAAAAAACAATTAAAAAAACCTTGCCATTTTTGGCAAAATGCTTTCCAAATAACTAAAGATGTCCTTACTGTGTGACTGTAAAAAAATAATAACAAGAAAACGTTACGAATCGCACTACAATAATGGCAGCTAGCAGCTTTAAGTTCAGACACTATCCCTTATTGTTCTGAAGAACAGTGTCTTGCCCATATGAATCCACCCATATTTTAAAGCCTCTGAAGGAAGACCTTCCCTCAATCCTGCCATCCTCATATATACACTTGGCCAAGCCCCAAGAGAGGGCTTTTTGGGTGGCTGTTTCCAAGTTGTGTGATTCTCTCTTAAGGCAGGCTAGGTTGGTCCTTTCTTGATACCCTTCTGCTAATAGTCAAACATCTTTCTGCTTTTGGCAACTGAATGGCTACTAAAGTAGGGGTTTTATTGGGGTGGGGTGGAGTTTTAATATTTCTTAACTTTTTTAATGGTAAATTTCAATGGTAAATAATTAGTTTCTGTTCTCTTTTTGCTTTAGTATGTGGAAAATTTAATAGATTTATAAAATTATAATTGTTTTCCTATTTTTAGCTGTATCTGTCTTTCAAGTATTTTATAAGCCAGGGGTCCCCAACCTTTTTCACCTTGCAGACCGGCTGGGAAAGGCGGGTCATCCTCCGTGCTCATGCGCATGCGCAAACGGCGGTGTGGGGCTTGTGCGGGCGCGCTCATGCGCATGTGTGAATGGCAGCATGGCACTTGTGTGGACATGCATGCTCGTGCCTGCATGAATGCCGCGCTGCCATTTGTGCATGAGTATGCAGACACAAACAGCCTTTGCGGGGGGAATGCACGTGGTGGGTGGGTCGGGAGGTCTGTCTTTGTGGCACAGTCTGGCTCAGGCCACGGACCAGCATAGGGCCACGGACCGGGGGCTGGGGATCTCTGCTATAAGCCACTTTGAGCCCTTTATTCAGACAACAGCAGGATATAACTTAGACAAATAATACAAGTGTGCATGCACTTTAAGTAGCAGATTCAATTAGTGCCAGAAAAGGGGCATTATAATGAGGTGAAAAATCACTCATGGGTTTTAGGAAAGAACACTCTTTTAGGGTCCAGAACAGCCCAGGAAAACTGGTGGCAAAACCCCTTCCCTCAGCCCCCAGAAGACATAAATGACCTTTTTTAAAGAAAAAAAGAGATTGAAAGAAACTGGCTGCACAATTAAGAAAAACTCCACTTCAGCTTGCCATATAGCTTTACAATTGCATTGTAGTCAATACATTTTCTCTTGTAAGTGAACAGTTTCACATTTCCATATAGAACAGCTAGAAGGAGCCCCATATTTACTGGGCCTTTTAAAGGAGTAAACACAATTAGAGCATATTGTGAAAATCTTCAGACTCAGGATACTATCACACCCTTTTACAGGAAGACAGTATTGGATTAGCATATACATATGTCTTTCAGTCTTACCTGGTCCACTACCATCCGGTTTGCATACACCTCATCACTTCCATTCGATGCAGCTGAAAGATTGGCTGCTGCAAAGAACGTGGAGGGATCTGATCTCTTCTTATAGGCCTCAAATGGAGAATGCGTCTGGACTGGAACAGAACATTAATAAAGAGACACAGATTTTTTAACAAAATGGGATGAAGGAAAGATTGCGCATACAACACTGAAATGGATAGGATGACCAAAGAAGGTAAGATGCACTTTGCTGGATCAGGCCAGTTGCTTATCTAACTCAGCAACCTGTTTGTCATTGTATCCTCCCAGATGCCCATAACAGCTGGGCAACTTCTAGGGGTCCAAAGAGACACGTGCCCATCCTGGGCCACTCCTACTCCTCAACCACCCCAACTATTCTTCCTTTAAAAAAAAGGTTTGAAGCTGAAAGTCATGCACATGCACACATAGTCTAGCAGTCAGATTTTATAAAATAACTCAAAGATTTGGTGGTAGGAAGCCCTGGGGATATAAGGGACCCAAAATCTGAAAAAAAATGCCACCTTACTCCCTTGAGAGGGCACACTCCCTTTTACTCCCTTGAGCAAAAAAAAATTGTCTTAGAAGAAATGGGATAGGGTGCTGGATAGCCCTAGGGGTGCCATGAGGACCCACACAAAGCACACACTTTGCCCGGAAGAAATGGGATAGGGTGCTGGATAGCCCCAGGGGTGCCATGGGGACCCACACAAAGCACACACTTTGCCCTCTGCTCCCTAGGACAAGCTTAAAAGGAAGATCTGACAGCAACAGTCTTCTTTCACTACTGTTCTCCAACAAGTGGCATTCAAAGGCATGCTGCCTCCAATTCTGGAAACAGGAGGTAGCCATCCTAAGACTAATCAATGGTAGCCCTCTCTACCCTGTACCTGTCCAATTCCCTTTCAGAGTAATATACATGCATGTGGTACATCTAGCAATAGTGCTTTTATTTTTGTCTGAACCAAATTTCCAATTTTTCTGCTTCAACAGATGAAGTGAGTTCTAGCACCTATGCACCTAATCGCATGGTGGTTAAACTACAGTAGTGCAATCAAAACTCTACTCATAACCTGAGTTTGATCTCAGTGGGCTCAGGTAGCTGGCTCAAGGCTGACTCAGCCTTCCATCCTTCTGAGGTCGATAAATTAAGTACCCAGTTCACTGGGGATGGGGGCAGTAATGGATAGCCTGCATAATTAATTTGTAAATTGCCCAGAGAGTGCTTTAGGCATTATGGGGTAGTAAATAAGGAGAACATTTTAATATGAGAAATGAAGAGCTATATGAAATGTATACAGGATGGAGAAAACAATGAACTTATTGTTTTCTCCATCCTATATACATTTCATATAGCTCTATCCAATCTTAGGAGACATTTTCCCCTTAAACTGAACAACCCCAAACACTCTTCCCTTCCATCACAGGACAGTTGTTCCAGCTAGTTAGTCATTTTGCTTGTCCTTTTCTGCACCATTTCTAGGTCCAACATATCCTTTGTGTGAAATGAAAGGGCCAGCGGTATCACATATATATAGTCTGGCCTCCTAATCTGGGGGTAGCTCAAGACATTTTTTCACCTGAGGTAAGAAATAAATGGCACAGTATAGACCTACAACAATATCCACTTTCTGTATGCTTCATCTGAAGAATCTGAACAGACTAACCTACAGACTAACCTACAGAGTGAGGAACTGCTTGTACATATAGAGCAGTGGTTCCCAATCCTGGGTAACCCAGGCATTCTTGGACTGCAATTTCCAGAAGCCCCAGCCAGTAGGGATGGTCGTGAAGGCTTCTGGTAACTGCAGTACAAGAAAACTTGGGTTTTCAAAAACTTTGGCTATTGTAGAAAAGTGGAATTACATAGGGAAGCTCAGGAGGGAGATAGAAAATACTAACAACATAAAAAGGTACCTACATATATTAATGGATCATTTTCTTGTAATACCTTATGAATGTGAAACAGTTGTCTCTTTGACAAACTCTGATCTCTCTCCTAAAAATATCATTGCATTCTTAAGAGAGCCAAGTCTACCTGGCCTGCAACTATTACTTAGCCAGGATCTGCTCAAGGAAGTAATTAACAGCTTCAATGTGCCATTCCTGTGTTAATGAACCATTGTTGTTTTGTTTGCTATAAGCATCATCATGGTGGTTCGAATATAAAAGTCATGTTTTTACACTCCTGTGTCTGTGGAAGTGAATTTTGATCCACAAAAGCTCACACTGGAATACAATTGTTAGTCTTTAAGTTGCTACAGTATTTTGCCTTCCCTCCCCTTTTCTTTCCTCACCCCACTCCACCCTCTGACAAATATGCTGAAATAGGCTAAGGCTAACACAGCTACTTCTTTGGAAACTCCTTTAATGCTTGTTGACATTTTTATGGAACTAGAATTAACTAAGCCATAAAGGGTGGTGTTAACAGCTGCCCTCTGGAAACTGAAGCAATGGAGGCTCCACTCCTTTATTAGCCTCCCTTCAATATATGTGAGGTACAGGGAAAACAACTGGTAGGCGTCTCCTACCCATACATGATAGTCCTAAGCTGCAGCAGACTCCCTAATGCTTGTGTTAGCGCAAGAACACGGAAATTCAGTGGAGTAACTTCTGGTCCAGATGGTTAAATGAATCATGCACACACAAGCAACTTCTCCAGCACCAGACATGTATTTACAGGCTATATACAGAAGTGCAGACCGGCAGCATAACAGCATGACACTCATCAGGAAGAAGAAGAATACATCTGCTGTGCAGAGTCCACATACTATACTTATTCACAACTATCTGTGTCCAATCATATTAGATATTGCATCATACATGAGCCAGCACTTTATGAGTCATCATGACTCAGCATTACAGCACACCTGTTCAATATGGCTGCTCATTAAGACACTTTGTACTGCTCAGGCCTGTAAATTTTACCTTCACAGTTTGTTTGTTTGTTTGTTTGTTTGTTTCCAAGATTTTTTAGCCATGCTATTACCAATGGTCTCTGAGCGGCGATTTTTAAAAGAGAGAGAGACTGAGAGAAACAGAGGGAGAAAGATAAAGACAGACATAGAGTGAAGCTAACCAATTCACATAATGTCTTTTTAAATTCTAATTCAGGAGTTATATTTTCTGCCTGCTATAAGAGTGTGTCATAGCTTCCATGTATGCTCTGCTTGCATATTTGGTAAGGAAGGAGTATACATTACAAGATAACCAACAATAACCACCATGACTTCTAATCATCATCATCATCCTGTTATCTAACAAAAAGATACACAGAATGACTTACAATAATGAGAAAATCAAATAATAAAAGTAAGATGTACAAACCAAAACAGTCATTAAACAACAGAACAAATGCACATGGTTTTTTTTAAAGGCACCCACCCACCAGATTAAAAGCAGTGAACAGAAATGGAGGCATTACTAAGACAAAAATCCTGAAAGGAAATACAGAAATGTTTGGGAGTTTTTTAAGTTTTCAGCAGCCATCTGAATACTAAAAGAGAATATCTTCAGCAGTTTTCTAATAATATCAGCAGCAACAACAAAAACATGCCATCAAGTCAATTCTGACTTATGGTTATCCTTTTCATGGTTTTCTAGCTATAGAGTACTCAGAAACGGTTTCCCATTCCCTTCTTTGTGAGGTGCCCTGAAACTGTACACAGGCTGGCTCTTCTCCTGGAAGGCACAGTAGGGAATCCAAGGGCCTGTCCAGATGTGGAGACTTGGAGAGGTCTGGTTCAGGTCTGAAAAGTTCTTATTTTCAGTGCAGTCTATCATCTCACACTTGAGTGATCCTCCCGATCACACTGGAGATGTTTATTTTCTTGTGAAAAGGGTCCACACAGGTCTTTGGATCACCGGCTTACTCACAAGTGAGATTTACCTGGTTTATGTGTGTGTAAGGTTTACCTGGTTTACTCACAAGTAAGGAAGTAGCAGCAGGGCAAAGAAAATGTTAAGGTAAAGGTAAGGAAGATGGAAGGGAAATAACCCTCCATTTTCCTGCCTTTCTCCTCAGCCAGAGGTCTGCCCTCTTGTGGGGGCAGAACCCTCAGAGTAAACATAGCCTCTTTCCCCAACTTCTCCCATGGCCATCATTGAGCAGGCTGTGGTGGCTTTCCCTTTTTAAATGAAATAAGGTAAGTGGCAGAGTGAAACCACAATGCACCTACCTTTACAAAGATGAAAATGGTTGAAGGATTTTTTTAAAAAATCAGTTACGGAAATATTTGATAATATTTTTAAATATTGTGCTGTGTCAGCTACAGAAATATTTTTAAAAGGATGAAAACTGAAAAGGGAGTTTCTCTGTCCTTCCTTTTAATGCCACAACCCATCAAGTATGTCATAGGCCTGTATACTACCCACAGGATTGTTTTGATGCAGACTAACCACTGATACAGGCTACACAATGGGATAATTAGGAACATGTCGAGTCATGCCAAAACACCCAGAAGCCCTAGCGCTGTGCCAGAAAGGATGGCTGAAAAAAAGGGGCAGGATGGAACACTCTAAATCAAAACTTGTATGGACATCATGATTTGGTTCAAACCAAACTGCATCAAAAGTGATTGACATAGCGATCTATATAATTATTCAGACTGGCCCTAAGTCCCAAACCTCTGGCTCTTTAGCCAGATGCCTAACTCACAGAGCTATCCAGTCAGCTTACTGGACGGCCAATACATAATTGTGGTCCCTCTCACAAAAATTGTGTTCATAGCTACTGATGTTCATCTTATAGCAACATCAAAGAGCATCTACTCTTTTTTTTCAAGGAAAAAAAGTGAGATAAAACAAGGCAATACAAATTATCCCTCTGAAGATCCAGTAGTAGACCTACTGATCATGATCTTAAGAGAGCAACCAGCTCCATTTCTAACTTCATTTCCTTCAGTCTTGTTTTTAAACTGGAATTCTCTCTTTCTCTGATGAATTAGCACAGATAAGATGACTGTATTTTACACTGTAAGTGAACCCTAAGATCTTTTTTACATTTTTCGTTCATGTCATGATTTTCCAGCTAAATGAGTCATGTGAAATGAAAAACTACGGAATCTAACTAATGGTCTGCCAATTTTTTCCAAATCTTTAATCTGTCTGGCTTGCT